TACCATGTGCTAGCTTCTAGGCTAGGTGCTTGAGATATGATGGAGAAGAAGATAGATGATACCTTTCTTTTGTGGAACATATTTCAGCAGGGGAGATATCACATAATCAATAATTTAATCACAACTGTGATAGTTCTATGAAGTTCAGTTTTTTTAGAAATCAAATTACCACATTGCTGTCTCTAAGAGGTTTTACCAATTTACTTTGCCCACAAAGCATGAGCATACCTCCTACATCTTTCTTCTTTAAAACTCAATATTGTCTTATTAAGCAATTGCTGCATAGATAGGCAAATATATCAAAAAATCTTACTGTTAGTTGGAGTGGAATTTTACTTTTTTACATCTATTGGTCATTTGATCAACCTTCTTCAAGAATTATCTATTCATGCTCTTTGTCTCTTGGATACTTACCTCTCTTTGTTTTTAGTATATCTCTCTTCCATGTTTGAAATCATTAATCACTCTTCTCTTTCTTCTCCCTTAGCTCTGGAAACACTGAAAAAGATTTCACCTAGTTTATTGGGCAATTCCCTTTTGATCTGCTTTGAACTTCTTTCTTACTTACTTTGGATAATATATGTTTTGCAGTGTATTGATTCCTTAATATTTGTGGCAAACTTTTAATGTCTATATATGTAGAACTACCTCTTTCTTTTTAAAAGTGACATAGTATTCCATTATATGTATGTACCATAATTTATTTAATCAGTTTCCTATAGGTAGATGTTTAAATTGTATTTTTTTTTTGCTGGTTCAAACATTGAGCATTCTTATGATATATATTTGTGCATCTACTTGAATATCAATTGGTAGGATAAGGTTTTCAAAATGGAATGGCTCCATCAAAAACTGGTCAGCGGGCAAAAGGTTCAGAGAGGTCAAGGAAGATAAAGACTGACTATTGTCCACTGGATTTAGAAGGCTCTTGGTGACCTTAAAGAAATTTCAAGGGAGCGAGGGGATAGAATTCTAGACTTTGGTTGGTTGAGAAATGACTGGGTGATTACTATATAAGGAAATGGAGACAGTGAATATGGACAATTCCTTAGAAAAATTTGCCTCTGAAGAGCAGAGAGGGTGGTAGTAGGGGAAGGGTTGATGACCCAGACACCAGCCCGCAGTGTCCACAGGGTCATGGATGAGACATGAGAGATTCACACGGACTACCGAGTCCTATGTGGAGGAAAAGGGACGGCTTGGCTACCCTCTCAAGGGGAGGGTTCCTTGGAGCAGCCTGGCCACTCTCTCAAAGGAGAACACCCCAATCCTTCCCTTCACAGGGTTTTTATTGGGTTTCAATTTGCACAGGAATACAGGTAAAGTTCATCAATCACTGTCAGGCAGTAAGGATCAAACAACAGATAATGTTCAAAGAACTAAAAAGGGCTCCCACTGAGTTGGGGTCTTATCACCTAAAAAACTACAGAACTTGAGGAGCTAAATTCATTTCCTCCCCGGGCCTTCATAATCTAATTAAGAGCATCCTCAGCAAGCAGATTTCACAGGAATTTACATATTCCTTTTTCAGGTCTGATCATCGGGGAAGTCTGCAGTCCCCAGTGTGGATTGCACCACCCCTTGTTATTGTCACAGGCTTGAATTGGGCAGAGGAGACAAAGGCAGGCAGGAGATTTGGATGTCTCACAGGCAGAATGAGGACTCAGGCTTTGTCAAAGACGAGGGGCGAGGGTTGATCACCCCCTTTTTTTTTTAGATTTTATTTATTTATTTTTAGAGAGGGAAGAGAAGGTGGGGGGGGAGAGAGAGAGAGAGAGAGAGATCAATGTGTGGTGGCTGGGGGTTATGGCCTGCAACCCAGGAATGTACCCTGGCTGGGAATCGAACCTGGGACACTTTGGTTCCCAGCCCGCACTCAATCCACTGAGCTATGCCAGCCAGGGATCGCTCCTTTTTTCCATAGCCCCCCAAGTCCTTCCCTGGGACCTCCATGTGATCATGCCTGTTCTAGGTGATTTCTCCCTTGCGGAATCTTACCCATCATTGGCTAACTGATCAAGCATTGGGGGCCAGGCAAGGAGCGGAAGCAGCGCTCCTGCCAGGGAATTAAGCTTATCTCCTTAGTGTCTCCTGTTCTGGAGGTCTCTCACTTAGTCTTAGCCATGGGGTGTGGGGTGGGGGGGCAGTTACAGCTTCCTGAGACCAGGCAGGGTGGACGCCAACAGGTTGAGATTCAGGAAAGTGTTTTTTTTTCTTTTTTAATTTTAAGGGGAGTTAGATGTCTTTAAATGCTGATGGGAAGGAAGGGATAATTGATAGAGCAAAGTTCTTACAGGGCAGAGTCCTTATACCAGTTAGGAAAAGATCCTGAATGAGGTGGAGGGATTACTCTTAAACAAGAGGAAGGACTTTAGTGTAGGGAAGAACAAAAAGTGAACAGATATAGATGTAAATAGGTTTATAGATTTGACGGTAGGAACTTACCTGAGGGCATTTTTATTTCTCTGTTATATAAGAGGAAAGGTCTTCCTCCTAGAGCAGTGATTAAGGTCAGAAAAGGTTTGGGTTGGAGATTTGAGGTATTTAAAGAAGGTTTGAAAGAGTTATCAGTTATCTTGGTGACCAGGAGAGCAAATTAGGACCAGGGAAGCATACTTGGAGTGTCAAGTAGTGCAGAGGTAAGTTTAGTGACTAACAATTTATGTTGATACTAATCCAGTAGATTGTGATTGTTATTTTCTCCAGTAGAACTCAGGAATCCTAGTCATAAAAGCACAACACTTGGACTCTTTTAGGGTTATGTTTTTATTTGCAATAAAATATAGGTTACTAAGGATATTGACAAGAGTGTAGTCAAACAATAGAATCCAAACTGTCTAGGTGGGTAAGTAAATACATGAAGGAGCTGACAGGGTGGAAGTAGAAGGATCTATGGAAAAATCAACCCTCACCCATTAGGTCTGAGAACCGGTGTGAACAGGTTGGAAGGATAGGGGATTATAACTGGAGTGGAGTCTTTGGATTAATGATACCAAAAGAGAAGTTGTGGGTGATAAAATTTGGGGTATGGCTGAATATGATATGTGGTATTTTTATATCAATTTATTCATTAAATATTTATTGCATGTACACTATGTGGCAGACAGGGCTTTTGGCCCTGAAGATATAGAGATGTATAAAACAAAGTCCCTTCTCTTATACTGCTTACTATCTAGTGGGGGATATTATTCTTTTTTATAAAATAAAAGGGCATGTTCATTGATATGCTGATTACTGAGTGTGTAGTTCTGTTTACAATTAATAACACCAAGGTAAAATATTTACATATATGGGGCTAGGAATGTCTATCATTTTGAGCACCTTACTTTATTGTAAGTTATATTACCTGAATTATGAAAATTCCTATCCCCTCCCCTCTTAGAACTTTTTAAGGTACTTTCATATGCTGTGTCAGAATTGAAGAGAACACAAATATATACACATGTACTTTAGAATTTTAGCAGTTTTAATACTTTAGTATTTTTCTCAAATAGGTGCTTTTTGTTTACTTTTATTGCATTTTCCATTACCATTTATGTTCCTCTTGTATCTTCTTCCACCTCCACTCACTCCCTCTCCCCTGCAATCACCACACTGTTGTCCATGTCCATGAGTCCTTTTTATTTTTGGCTTGATTCCTTCACTCACTAACTGCCCCCTGCCACAGACCTGTCAGCCCTACTCTCTATGAGTCTGTCCCCATTTTCCTTGTTATTTCAGTTTGTTCATAAATTCCACATAGGAGTGAAATCATATGGTATTTGTCTTTCTCTGACTGGTTTATTTCACTTAGCATAATGACCTTTGGGTCCATCCATGCTGTCATATATACCATGATCAATTGGGATTTATTTCAGGGATGCAAAGTTGGTACAATATTTGCAACTCAATAGCTGTGATATACCACATAAACAAAATGAAAGATAAAACCATGTGATTATATCAATAGATGCAGGAAAAGTATTTGATAAAATCCAGCACCCATTTATGATAAAGATTCTCAGCAAAGTGGGAATATAAGGAACATACATAAATACAATAAAAGCCATGTATGACAAACTCACTGCTAGCATCATACTCAATGGGCAAAAACTGCAAGTGTTCCCCTTAAGATCTGGAACAAGACAGGGATGTCTGCTGTCACCTTTCTTATTCAACATAGTACTAGAAGTCCTAGCCATACTACTTGTTAAATGTTAGGATATTTGTTCTAGCTATAGACCAGATGTTGACAGTGCATGTACTAATCTTGTTCTAGGAATTTGGTGTAATGTATAAAAGTAATTATGGTTAAGCAGACAGTTTAGGAGGGAAAGAGAACTTACAGCCTGTTAATATTTTATCTTTATTTTATATTCTCCAATATATATCAAGTATTTGTATGTATGTGTGTGTATATGTGTGTGTGTGTGTGTGTGTGTGTGTATATATATATATGATGTATATATTTACTAATACTCCATTTAAAGGAAATTAGCATTTATTTTATGTCTTATTGGCCTTAAGTAACACCTTAAAATCATCTGCCACATATACTGTTCAATTTAAGTTCAACTACAGGTTCATTGTGTTTAAGGTTTCTGTGGCCATAGCTATATTACAGCATGCTTAAAATGAAAAAAAAATGTATATCACAGTTATGTGTGAATGAGGGTTGGATTAGTCATGAACCATTATGATTTCTCATTTAAGGAGACTGTCTGATTGATTTTTAGGTGACGTGGCTTGCAAGAAAGTATTAGATGGTAGTTCAGTTTAGAAATCTCCTCCATCTGTGAACCTGGCAGGAGAATAGGGTCTTCTCTGTGGCAGTGCTGGTTTATCAAAGCTTGTTGACCAAGGAAAGATAATGATGTTTCACAATAATGAGGCTTATCATTGAAAAATGACAGTTTGTCAGGTCTCACCAGACTTTAAAAAATGTTTTATGCACATAAATGGCCTGGATTTTAAAATGTTCTGTTATTTTAGTTAGAATTTTTTTTTTTTATCTTTTTAAGCTTTGGTGCTGTTTAGGAAAAGAACTTTGGCAGAGAAGAGGATACACTTTCCATCCTTCACCCCACCAACTTCATGGGGATCTTGTGAGTTCACATGGCTCATGTGAGAGGAAGCTTCAAGGGTAGATCTTGCAAGCTGGAATGCCAAATGGGATTCATCATAATATATGCATTTTTCCTGCTAAGGGGGATGTTTACACATATAGTCCTATTTTTATGATCTTTTCTACTTCTGTGTACTACGTTTATGTGGATCTGTGTTCTAATATTGCTGAGGTTGGCTTAAGATCCCTGGAGACGCTGAGGAGCAGGGGGAAAAGTGTGAAATAATAAAAATAAGGCCACATTTCCATGTATCCAAGTAACCACTCTATGAAAGAAATATATGATCATGTATGTTCTATGACTTATTCCTTCACCTTCTTTCAAATAGTCCCCAAATCCCTCCTCTGCTCTCACAGCTTTCAGTCTATTCCATGATTCCATGCCTCTGGTACTATTTTGCTCACTAGTTTATTTTCTTCATTAGATCCCTCTTATAAGTGACATCATATGGTATTTGTCTTTCAACAACTGGCTTACTTCACTTAGCATAATGTTCTCCAGTTCCATCCATGCTGTTGCAAAGGGTAGGAGCTCCTTTCTTTCTGCTGCATAGTATTCCATTGTTACATGAGATATCTGCAATTTACAGCCTATGTTTTGCTCTAGGAATTTCATGGTGTCACGACTCATATTTAAGTCTCTTATCCATTTTGAGTTTATTGTGGTGGGTGATGTAGGTTGGAGGTCTAGTTTCATTTTTTGCATGTACCAGTACACTTCTCCCAACACATTTATTGAACAGACTATTTTTACTCCATTGTATGCTTGTGGCCCCTTTGTCAAATATTAATTGACTATTGAGACATGGGCCTATTTCCGAGCTCTCTATTTGGTCCCATTGATCTGTGTCTGTTCTTTGCAGTACCAGAATGTTTTGTTTAGAGTGACCTTGTAGGATAGTTTGACATCACATTTTGTGATCCCACCAACTTTATTCTTCTTTCCAAGAATGCAGAGGCTATTTTGGGACATGTTTGGTTTCATATACATTTCTGGAATATTTGTTCTAGATATCTGAAATATACCATTGGTATTTACATAGGAATTGCTTTGAATCTATAGGTGGCTTTGAGTAGGATGGATATTTTATTTTTTTCTTCTTATTTAAAAAAATTGTTATTGTTGTTCAATTACAATTGTCCCCACTTTTCCCCCATTACAACAACACTGCCCTACCCACTCCCCACCTTACACAATCAATCCTCCCCCACAATCTCTTTGTCTATGGATTCTTTGAACATGTTCCTTGACTTGACCCTTCCCCTTCTTTTGCCCATTACTCCCCTCCCCCATCCCCTCTGTCAGTGTGTCATTTCCTTGTCTCTGGTTCTATTTCCTCTCTTGTTTGTTTTATTGATTAGGTGACACTAATTGGTGAGACTTTATGGTATGTGTCTATCACTGCCTGGCTTATTTCACTTAGCATAATGGTCACCAGTTCCATCAAAGCTATCAGGAAGGGTAGGAGTTCCTTCTTTCTGTATAGTATTCCATTTTGTAAACGTACCACAGTTTTTTGATCCACTCATTTATTAATGGGCACTTAGGCTGCTTCCAGCACTTGGTTATTTTAAATTGTGCTGCTATGAACATTGGGGTGCATAAGTTCTTTTGCATTGGGTTCTCAGGATTCTTGGGGTATAATACCAGCCGTAGAATTCCCAGGTCAAAAGGCCATTCCAGTTTTAGTTTTCTGAGGAAATTCCATACTGTTTTCCATAGTGGCTGCACCAGTATGCATTCCTGCCAACAGTGCACTAGGGTTCCCTTTTCTTCACATCCTTGCCAGCACTTGTTATTTGTTGACTTGTTTACAATGGCCATTCTGACCAGTGTGAAGTAGTAACTCATTGTGTTTTTTTCATTAAATAATTTTAAATTTTATTGTTCAAGTACAGTTTTCTGCCTTTTCCTCCCACCTTTCCCCCTGACCCCAGCCATCCCATCTCCCTCCTCTGATTCTACCTTTCCTTGGTTCTGTCCATGTGTCCTTTATAGTTGTTTCTCAAAATCCTTCACCTTCCCCCCGCCCCTTGCCACTATCCCCTCCCAACTTTTGTCTGGTTACTGTCAGTTTTTTCTTAATTTCAATGACTCTGGTTATATTTTGCTTGCTTGTTTGTCTTGTTAATTAGGTTCCAGTTAAAGGTGAGATCATATGGTATTCATCGTTCACCACTGGCTTATTTCACTTAGCATAATGCTCTCCAGTTCTATCCACTCTGTTGCAAAGGGTAGCAGCTACTTATTTCTGCTGTGCAATATTCCATTGTTTAAATGCACCATGATTTTTTAATCCATTCATTTACTGATGAACACTTACATTGCTTCCAGCACTAGGCTATTGTAAATTGTGCTGCTGTGAATATTGGGGTGCATAGGTTTTATTGGATTGGTGTTTCAGGGTTCTTAGGATATAATCCTAGCAGTGGAATTGCCAGGTCAAAGGCAATTACATTTTTAGTTTTCTGAGGAAATTCCATACTGTTCCATAGTGGTTGCACCAGTCTGCAATCCCACCAACAGTGCACTAGGGTCCCCTTTTCTCCACAACGTCTCCAACACTTGTTGTTTGTTGCTTTATTTATGATGGCCATTTTCACTGGTGTGAAGTGGTATCTCATTGTGGTCTTAATTTACATCTCTCTGATGGCTAGTGATGCTGAGCATCCTTTCATATCCCTATGGGACCTCTGTATGTCCTTTTTGAAGAAGTGTCTGTTCAGATCCATTTCCCATTTTCTAATTGGGTTGTTTGTCTTCTAGGAGTAGAGTCCTGTGAGTTCTTTGCATATTTTGGAGATCGAACCCTTATCCGAGACATCATTGGGAAATGTATTTTCCCATATGATTGGTTCCCTTTTCATTTTGCTGATGTTTTCTTTAGCCATGCAGAAGCTTTTTAAAATGATGTAGTCGCATTTGTTGATTCTTTCCTTTATTTCCCTTGCTCTATTGATGACATATTGGTGAAAATATTGCATGTGGGATATCTGAAATTATCCTGCCTATGTTTTCCTCTAGGACTTTTATGTTGTCATGACATATGTAAGTCTTTTTTTTTTTTTGTTTTGTTTTGAGTTTCTTTTTGTGTGTGTTGGAATTTGGTCACTGAGTTTCACTTTTTTCCATGTAGCTGTCCAGTTCTCCCAACACCATTTGTTGAGGAGGCCATTTTTACTCCATTTTATGCTTCTTCCCACTTTGTCAAGTATTAATTGACCATAAAGCCTTGAGTTTATTTCTGGGCTCTGTATCCTCTTCCATTGGTCCATGTGTCTATTCTTATGCCAGTACCATATGGTTTTGATTACAGTGGCCTTGTAATATAGTTTTATGTTAGGTATTGTGATACCTGCTACTTTGTTCTTCTTTCTAAAAATTGCTGTGGCTATTTGGCGTCATTTATGGTTCCATGTACATTTTTGAAATGTTTGTTCTATACCTGTGAAATGTGTGATTGATACTTCAATAGGGATTGCATTGAATCTATAAATTGCTTTGGGTAGTGTGGACATTTTAATTTCTTTCCTCAGTGTTGTGTAGTTTTCTGAGTATAGGTCTTTTACTTCCTTGGTTAGGTTTATTCCTAGGTACTTTATTTTTCTTCTTACTATATCAAATGGGATTATTTTTCCTGATTTCTGTTTCTGATATTTCATTGTTGATGTACAAAAATGCCTTTCATTTCTGAATATTGACTTTGTATCCCACTGTTATGCCAAATTCACTTATTAGTTGAGTAGTTTTTCGTGGAGTCTATAGGATTTTCTATGAATACTATTATGTCACCTTCAAAAAATGATGTTTTGCTTCCTCCTTTCAAATTTGGATTCCTTTTATTTCTTTTTCTTGTTTGATTGCTTTGGCTAGGATTTCCAATACTGTGTTGAATAGAAGTGGTGAAAGTGGACATCTTTGTCTTGTTCCTGATCTTAGTGGGAAAGCTCTAAGTTTTTACCCATTATGTATGATGTTGGTTGTAGGTCTCTCATATATGGTCTTTGTTATGCTGAGGAATGCTTGCTCTATTCCCACTTTGCTGAGTGTTTTTATCATAAATGGGTGCTTTACATTATCAAATGCTTTTTTTTGCATCTATTGATATGATCATGTGGTTTTTGTCTTTCATTTTGTTTATGTGGTGTATTATGTTAATTGATTTGTGAATATTGTACCATCCTTGCATCCCTGGGATGAATCCCACTTGATCATGGTGTGTGATCTTTTTAACATACTGCTGGATGTGGTTTGCCAATATTTTGTTGAGGAATTTAGAAACTATTTTCATCAGCAATATTGGCCTGCAATTTTCTTTCTTTGTTATATCTTTATCTGGTTTTAGGATTAGAATGATGCTGGCTTCATGAAAAGAGTTTGGGAGTCTTCCATCTTCTTCTATTTTTTTTTTGAATAATCTATGAAGGATAGGGGTTAGCTCATCCTTAAGTGCTTTGTAAAATTCTCCTGTGGAACTGTCTTGTTCAGGGTGTTTGTGTGCCAGGAGATTTTTGATTACTCCTTTAATTTCATCAGCTGTTATTGGTTTGTTCAGGCTTTCTGCTTCTTCTTCCTTGAGTTTTGGAAAATGATATTTTTTCATAAGTTTGTCCATTTCATCTAGGTTTTCAAACTTCTTGGGATATAGTTCTCTGTAGTAATTTTTTACAATCCTTTGTATTTCTGTGTTATAAATTGTAATCTCTCCTCTTTCATTTATGATTTTTAAATTTGGATCCTCTCTCTTTTTTTCTTCATGAGTCTCAAAGTTTTGTTGATTGTTTATCTTTTCAAAGAACCAGCTCCTGGATTTATTGATTCTTAGAAATGTGCTTTTAGTCTCTATGTCACTTAATTCTGTTCTGATCTTGGTTATTTCCTTCCTTCTACTTGCTCTGGGCTGTCTTTTTTGTTCTTGGAGTTCTTGGAGGCATAGGGTTAGGTTGTTTATTTGAAATATTTCTATCTTTTTTAGGTAG